ACCAAAATCTATAGAAAACAGGGGCCAAAAGGACTCCAATAGGTCACAAAATAGCAACATAGAACCCCGGGAGCACTTGGAGCAAGATGACTTGAGGGACACTGCTGGTGTCACCCAGACAATGTGGGCGACACTAGTAGTGCCGCCCAGGCGACACCACCAATGTCGCCCAAACTCAGACCCTCCCGGATCGATCCAGGCTTTTTTCGGTAAATTTTCATGACAAAAAATTGAACATCATGAGCCAAAACTAGAATAAAAATTGAATTGCATAGGAAAAATTAAATTAAAAGTTTGAAAATATACCTGCAAAATCAGGATACTGTGCTCAATGAATAGGTCACCTCGGGTGACCCTGTCGTGAAGACCCCAGTAAATGCCTGCCAACACAGCCGGAACAATGGTGTAACCTGCTCGCTCCCAAAAGGCATGGGTTAAAGGAACAAGAGAACTACAAGCCGTCTTACTACCGTTCGAAAAAAGAACAGATCCCAACAGCACAAAAAGGAAAATACAGATCTGTTCGGTGACCCAAGGCCGCTCTGGATTCTGGACCAGCAACTCCATATTGACCCACTGACCGTATGAAGAGTAAGCAGCCCCCAACAGTCGCGCACCCATGATGGACTGATCATTGGTGGCAGTAGAAGGTTGATACGCAATTCCGACCAAGCTCAAGCCAAAAACCCTAGCATTTCCTCTAAAGTTGACGTTGTCTCGCTTGTAGGAAGGAAGAAGGTGTTTGTTTGATAGTTGAACCTCTCAGCAAGAGCCTCGAGGAGCGGAAAGTTCACATGGCAAGAGGCCATATTCAAGATACCTATCATTGAAACTGAAGCTAAAAAGGCCATGAGCTTGGGCCATTGCCGAGTAGAAAGAAACCAATCCCTGAACCAGGGCCCGATAATAGGGAAGCCATGGACACGTCGAGGAGCTTCACCCGATCAAAGGCCCTATGAGATATGGGAGGGAAGACCTTCAGGGAAGTACCTAGCTCTAGAAAACAAAGGAAGAACCTCCTCCTCTCCTCCATTACCAGCCTGCTCAGAAACCTTCCCTTTGCCCTTGAAAATAGCATTGTCCTTCATAGGAGCCCTGAAAGCCTATGGGTGAGAGCAAGAAAAACCAGTAAGATTAGAGGAAAGATGATGAAGAAGGAAGAAGATGAAGATGGGAAGAAGAAAGAAGAGCTTGAAGGATGAGAGAAGAATGGGAAGGAGGGGGATTTTATGGAAAATAGGAAATCTCGCCCAAAACTCATCTTGTAGGTTTCTACTTTGGCCAACAGAAGGTTTAAGCAATCTCAAGACCTTCCAAAGCAAAAATTTCAAAGTTTGGAGGTCGGTGGTCTAGACGACACGCCTGGTGTCGCCCAAGTCCGTACCTAGGCTAGGCGACACTACCGATGTCCCCCACAAAAATTTTGACAAAAATCCCCCTGCTTAATCCTAGTATTTCCAAATAAAATAAGAAAACATTTATGGGTGACACGCCTATTGTCACCCAGTCTGTGACGGCGACACCACGCATGTCGCCCAATTTTTTTCTCTTTACAAAGAAAACCCTCTGCTCAAGCATTTCCAAATAAAAAAAAATTATTAATTTTTTCTCTATGGGAGACACCAGCCATGTCGCCTAAACTGTGTGGGCAACACCGCCAGTGCCACCCGGGCGACACCACCAGTGTCGCCCAAAGCCCTTTTGTCAAAAATGCCCCCGCTCAACTTTGGAGCCTTTCGGGGATCAAGTTTGGTTTTGTCATGAATTTTTCTTTTGAAAAAGACAACTGCTTTCAAACAATTTTAAAAATTTTCAAGCGCTCCTTGGTGGCATGAGCCTAAACTGCTAACTAATTTCAAAAGAAAAAAAAAGATTCAAAAAGAAAATGCTCCTTGGTGGCACGAGCCTAAACTGCTAACCAAAATCCAAATCCGAAAATATCAAACTCGTGGGATGTAAAAGAGCCGAGACATGAAAAATGTCAAACTCGTGCTATGTAAAAGAGCTGATAAAGGTACCGTTTAGCCTCGTAAGACACAAAAGGTCCTGTGTATCCAGTTCAATGTCAAACTTGTGTGACGTAAAAGAGTCGAGGCAGGAAAATGTCTAGCCCCGTATGATGTAAAAGGTCGGGTGTACTCAAAAAATGTCAAGCCACGTATGACGTTAAAGGTCGGGTGTATCCAGTTCAACATCAAACTCGTGCGACATAAAAGAGCCAAGGTAGGTAACGTCTATCTAGCCTCGTATGACCTAAAATGTCGTGTGTATCCAGTTCAACGTCAAACTCATGCGACGTAAAAGAGCCGAGGTAGGTAACGTCTATCCCCGTATGACCTAAAAGGGTCTGGTGTATGGTCCATCACTGCTTGACGCTAAACTGCTTAGAGGGCTCTATGGTTGCAGGAGTTAAAACTGCTAACGAAAATTTGTTTTTCAAAATATCTTTCTTTTTTAAAATTTTCACTATATGTCTTATTTTTTCCAGAACTTTAATTTCTTTGTTAAAATCGTAACATGTCCTTGCTCCAGGTTCTATTTCAAATCCCTCCCTCTTTTCCTCTAAAACATCTTCTAAAACGAAAGAGCTTGGACACTCGTATATGATGATTACCGCATTGCTACGATTACCGCGTTGCTACCTCATCTCTCTCTTTGGAATTGACCTGACAAATCTCTTTCTATAGCAAGCCTTAGAAAACCCTAAGGAAATCAAAGAAGATGACATGGTTAAAAATTTCAAACTGTAAAACCCCTGAAGTTAAGTGGCATGGCCAGAAAATCCAACTCGAGTTTCAAGCTTGTATAACTCATTGACATCTCATACCGAAAACCCTAGGAGGAAAATGCCCTAGGTGGGTGAGCTCGGTGAACACAATGACTTGGAGGGATTAGTTGGTGTGCTTTCTGACTACGTGAAGTCAGGAAGAAATTTAAAATGACTGCATTATCTTTGACGTTTACCTGCCCTTCGAAAGACAGGGAATGTCAAAGTGTCTACTTCTTTGCCACTCACCTGTCCCTCGAAGGACAAAGAGTGCCAAAGAGGGGCAACTGTAGACACCCTATTTTAAATCAGGTAAATTCTGTAATTTCCTGAACCCTTAGGACCACATTATCCTAGTAAATCCAAATCCATAGTCCACACAACCTACCCAAGACCATGAACAATTCTGCCTATCCAGAACCCTACAGATACCTTGTTTTGACCCAAAATCCAGCAGATGCCCTGTTTTACCAAAACAATCATTAAAAATAGTAGAAAAAATCCTTTTTGACTCAAATTTATTTTTAGAGCTTCACAAGAGGTTGAGAAACACACCTGAAGTGGAAATTTTGAATTTGGACTAATTTTGGTTTGGACAACACTACGAGTGCCGCCTAGCCCAGACTGGGAGACACAAGCAGTGCCGCCTAGATTAGAATGGTATTTTTAGTTGGAGGATCTGTTGGCTATAGAAATATGCCCTTCCCAACAGATCCTTGGCATTTATAAACCCTTTTTTTGTGACCATTTGATAGAGACTTGAACTTCTTCTTGAGTGAAAAACTTGGTGAGCTTAAAAAACCCTAATCTGACAAAAACCCTAAGCTTGAGAAACCTTAACCTAGACCTTGGGAACCCTAGTTCTAAACCATCCTTATAGCACAACAACCCTTTTTCAACCAAAGATTGTCTGGTCAACATCTGACTTAGAGAGGCAAAGAGGAAGCAGGTTCTGATATGGGCGAGCCCTCGAAGGCTTGGGAGTCTCGGGCTATCTGGCCCGGTTTGGTATTGTTCTCTTACCCTTTTCTTTTTCTTCTTCTTCTTCTTATTGTTTTATTTAATTTTGATCTGTTTATTGTTTTGCATTCGTTTTTTAATGCTTGGATCATGCTGGCTCTGCCACAGTTCTGAGAGTGGATCTGCTCGTTTTCTGGCAGATTTGGCCTCAGATCTGAATTTGATTTGTCCCACTTTCTCTACCACTTTATTTTCATCAGTTTAAAGTGTCAAAATCTAAGAGATCTTCATCGGAAGATCTGTCCGATTTTCATCGTAAACAAGCATGGCATAGTGCCACAATAAAATACATAATTCACTATAAATTTTTTTGTACAAAAATTCTTAAAAATTAATTAATAAATCTAATGGACTTAAAAAACATAACATTAATGACATATAAATCTGCAATATTGTCTAGCAAGAGCACAATAAAAAACTTGCATTTTTTTCTTATTTGTAATTAAAACATTAAACTCCCCTATTATATAATGAAACGTTATATTCATTTTAAATAAATTCTGCATTCATGTTGATTTTTTTGAAATAAATTTAACACAAGTTAAGCAGATAAATAATTGCAACCACCCAATGTCATATCCAGTGACGAAGATTAATATGACCACCTTGTATCAAAGGTAAATAGTCTCATTCTATACCTTCCCTTAATAAAAACTTACTAATTTATTTTAAGAGAAACCAACACATGGATTCCTCTATTACTTCGTAATATTATGATGTCGTAACTCTCCCTTTATGCATGTGCTCACCAAATGGACACATCAATGGTCCATAAACGCTTGGTTGATAATTTCCTCAAAAAGATTAATCAGATTCGATCATTAACCCATCTGCTAAATGCCACTTTGTAGGGTCACTCTGCCAAAAAAAAAACACCACGGGTTATCGTCATGCGTGACCCAATCTTGAAAGCAACATTGCCCGGAAATTGCGCTGAGCTACCAAATTCTTGGTCACTCTGCCAAAAAAAAAAAAACACAACGGGTTATCGTCATGCGTGACCCAATCTTGAAAGCAACATTGCCCGGAAATTGCGCTGAGCTACCAAATTCTTGTACGCCAATCTACTTTGAACGGTTACGATGTGCCTTCATTACTGCAGGATACGTTTGTAACCGTCCGATTTCTTTGCTGAAATTTCTACGGTCAAACTTGTTCGGCATGAAAGGGAGGTCCTTGGGGCAGGCAAGACTCATTGTTGAGTGATTGGCTTATAAATATCAAGCGGTGTAGAAGAGAAGGCAGTCAATCAGAAAATTGAGGTGCTGAAAAAATTCAAATATGGCCGGATTATTTGACAAACAGGCAAAATTGTATGCGGAGGGGAGGCCGGATTATCCATTCGAGCTCTTTGAATTCATTGCCTCGAAGACGGCCGATCATGATCTTGTATGGGATGTCGGCACCGGAAGCGGCCAAGCCGCCGTTTCGGTAATCTCTCTCGCTTAGAGTGAAAAGTTGTGTAGTGTAGGGGTGGCGACCCTAAGTCTAATTCAATGTTTCGGACTTCGCCGCATGGTCCCTATACGAGTGGCAATGGGTCGGGTATGGGTCGGGTCTTGCTGGACCTGGATCCAAACCCGAATGTATTCGGGTCCAGGTTTTTAACCCGGACCACCGCCGTCGGGTCTAAAAGTTGGACCCATATCCATACCCAATAGGTCCCAAGTCTGGTTGGGTCTGTTGCTACTTTCACTATGAGCTTCTTCTTCTTTTCTTTTTTTTCTTTTTATTTATTTATTTATTTTTATTTCAATTTTTTTGTGGTTTTTTACCGTCATATACCCAATTTTTGGCAACAAGGTCACAACCTGCCATTAGATTTCAAGCCATATTATTTATCATTTAATAGTTAAAGATGATTATGAATTCTTATTATATAAAATCGTTAATAAACCCAAATGAATAAGGCTTGAAGTATATTATCTCCAATAGTTTATGGCTACGGATCAGGTCCAACCGAACCCAGACTCAAACCTTAATAGTGATCGAGTCCAGGTTTTGGACCCGGACCCGACCCGCCATGTCTAAATGTTGGACCCAAAACCGAACCGATTCTGGTATACCCGATGGGTCTCAATTGGGTCTGGATCCGTTGCCACCCATAGGAACCTATCGAGTTGAGTGGGGTCTAGGTTGGGGTTGGCTCAACCCAACTTGATATAAGGTATATAAAATATATACTTACATTCGGAATCAAAAATTTTAGGTAAAAAATAAAATGCTCCGTTTATAGGCAGAAATTACAAAGAAGGTCCGTCAACCATCTTCTTTCTTTTTTTTCTTTTTTTTTCAAAATTGCCCTTTGGTCAACCTAAATTTTAATTTATTTTTATTTTTTAGTTTTTTTGCTGGTAGGGTTGTGTCCCAAACTTTACGGCACTGCCCTACTGACAAAAAAAGCTAAAAAAACTAAAAACAAATCAAAATTAGAGGTTGACCGAGGGGTAATTTTGAAAAAAAAAAAAAAAGGCCGGTTGATTGACTTTCTTTGTAATTTTCCCACATAAGTGAAGCATTTCGTATTTTATCTAAAATTTTAAGGTCTGTATGTAAATCACTCATAAAATAATCTTTTTAAATTTTTAGACCTGGGTCTTACTCTAAATGGTTTAGACAATAAATTTTTTATTTTATTTTTTAAAATTTCTAGACCAGGGTCTAAGTCTAGTCACTTGGACCCAGTCTGGGTTAGGTCCAGGTGAGAGTCAGAGTAGAACCTAACCTGGTCGGGTCTGCCCCAGAGCCGACCCGCTGCCACCCCTAGTCTAGTGCGTCTAGTGCATTTGGTCAAGGTGCTCCAGCTGTGGAAATTATAGAAACATGCACTTATTGTTTGGTATAATATTTTCTTTCCTTTTATGTGTACCCATATTAGGAAGGTGGTTCATTATATATGTTACTTTCTTAGTAGTACATAACTTTATAACTCTATAAATTGAAGCTCTTGTTCATAGAATAAGCTCAAAAATACATCTTCTATGGGGGCTTAAGGCTCAAATATACAGAAATATAGTTTCTCACAGAGTATTAGAGCAATCATCGATCCCAATCTCAGCTTCCCTGTTAGTTGTTCCTCTATTGAAGGTAATCTCCTTTTCCAAGTTTATTACAAATTTTCATTGTAAATTTGGCGTTGCAAATTCGCAACTTTTGTTGCAAATTTCGCCACCATTGTTGTCTTGTAGCAAAATCCCAATCTTTCAAATTGCAAAACTTCATTTGCATTGTTGCAAAAGTTTTCACTATTACCATCATTGCAAATCTTCTATGAAAATTGTTGCAAATCCTTCTAAGACGCCTTCTTTGCAAAATCTTGGCCTTCTTGTGACAACTTGAGAATCTTGTCGCAAATTTTGTCTCGTCTCCCATATTTGCTGAATCCAATATAATCCACGTCAACACTGTGTAAAGCGACTAATGCCTTGCAAAGGTATATAGATTTCCTCACGGTTTGGTTCTATCCCGGGAGCGTAGGATGTAGAAATATGCGGCCCTCCAAATACTCCATGAAGAAGGCAGTACCAATTATGCTAACATCCGAGCACAAGCAAAAAAAAGGCTTTTGGAACAAGAACATGAATATTGTCTCCTAAGGCCTTGAGAACCTGAAATTCTCTTCTCTACAGCATGAGCAGATTACCAGCATCAAAACCCGGGTAAACCATTGCTGCTGTGCTTCCCTCTAACGCTGGACCCTTAGTAACCGGCTTCTAAATCCACCTCTAAAAATGGCAACTGAAAATGACCAATCTACACCATCTGCAAACAGCCACCTGAGTCGTGTTTTGATTTTTTGACCTGTTTTGGATCTTACTAATCTCAACTCTAAATCTAAAATCCAATTGTGCTTGTTGCTCCGCCACTAATTTATGTTGGCTCTTCCAAATGTTGGGTTTATGTGGCCTTTAAAGGCCTTATGGGTGCTTGTAAAATGAAATGATATAGTGGAACATGAACTTAGTGGGAGTGTGGTCCCTCGCGGACCATACTAAGCAAATGATGGTTTGTTGATACTGATCTGTGCTTAACGATCTAGGGCAGTCGGTTGAGAAAAACCCATGTTACCTAAGCATGAAGAACAAACCGATCAGGTTTATGGGTTACCCCTTGATGAGGTCGGAGAATATGCTTGTATGAGTGAGCCAAGGGACTGTGTGACCCATGTGCGTGATGGTGGCCTACAAAGATAGGAGCCAAAACCTCATCTATGTGCCATTAAACGACATGCATAGCGATAGATCGTTCGAAAAAGCCAGAAATCCACCTTTTAGGGAGAAGCAAATGCATGTGCGAGATATACCCTATGCGCCGTAGAGCTATGGTCGTATAAGGCCTTGGTTATCTTGACTTGTCTCTAGGGGAGGACTTGAAATCCACAGACTAGGATTCCAATCCCTTGGCTCATCGATCAGACTTTGGTGACCGCTTATGAGCCCCTGCTTGGACTATAGGTCATGAAAAACACTAGGTCGGTCTGATAAAGCAAGTGTGGTATGTAGTCCACAGCTGAAGGTGGAGTGCCCTATGATTATCGATTCCTAAACTATATGGATCATTTTCCAATCAAATTAATTTAATTGTATTTGTTTTATGATGAAATTTATTTTAGGATTATTATTTGAATTTTTATGAACCCCTGGATATTTTATTTATAATTTTTAGATTTATAAAATTAAAGATATTGATTTTACAATGGTTTAAATATTCAAATAATATTCTAAAATCTTTTTTTTAATTTTAAATATGTAAAAATATCATGGGGGCCCATTGTGTACATAGGCCTACAATATTTCTAGAAGGTGGGGCCCATGAGTGCCTCCCTTATTCTCTTTCCTATTTTTTTGGTGATATGGCATGTAGCCATATAGTTGGAAGATATTGACTAAATATTGACTTGATATATCTTTGAAAGATTTTGTGAAAAGATTGAGTAGACTTGTGTTATTTTATGGTATGCACAATATTTTGATTAGATTTAATTTATTTAATTTATATTGATGGGAAAATGGTTTAGAAAAAGAGGATAATGGTTCATGCACCTTCCATAACGTTGATGGCTCATCTATAGAATGGATGGCTCAGATCTCTCAGCCCACAAATCACCCTTGATCGACGGTCTATGTTCAATCTCACAAGAAGAGGCAAGCCGAAGAAAATCCTAAGAAACCCTAATCTTATTCAAAGCCTATAAAAAGGGATTGTCTCTACCCAAACACCTTATCTTTCTATTTCTCTCTCTTAAGAAAGTTTATCTCTTATGTTTGATCTCTATCTCTCCCACATTGTGAAAGAATCTAAGGGTTTAGGTTATGGAGTTCTTTTCTCTCATATCTCTCAAATATGGATATATGGCTAAGGGTTTTAGGGTTTAGCAAAAAGAAAATCCATCTCTCAAACTAGGTTGCTAAGAAAATTCACCTAGGGTTTGAGTTTGTGATCAAAGGGACTTATGTTCCAATGGTGTGGCTTGGCCGGAATTTGCTTTCCCGATTCGAGATTAAAATTAGACCGTTGATCCTGTGCCATCGAATGGTGGTGACTCGGTGTGGGGCGTAATAAGCCCGGTTGAGGTAAACTTTGGCACTCTTCTATTTTTGTTTCTTGCAATCTTATCTTTTATTCTCAAGCATAGTGCATAGTTGTTTCAATGGCATCAAGTTATTAAGATCTTGGTTTTATTATTATATTGATTTTATTTTTAATTTTTTTTATTATAATAAAGACTACCTGTAAGTGTTCTTTTCCCATAAGAAAGGGCTAAAAAAACAAAAAATGTATTCCCAAGTAAAAGATCACATAGGTCTTTCTTTCACTTATTTTTCGATACAATATGTTCCTTCCCTTTATGTGTACCCATATTTGGAAGGTAGTACATTGTATATGTTACTTTCTTTAATAGTACATAGTTTTGTAGCCCTATAAATTGAAGTTCTTGTGCATATCTTGGATAAGCTCAGAAATACATCTTCCATGAGGGCTTAAGGCCCAAATATATAGACCATTGAATGTAGACCAAGCACATCTAGACCATTGAATGTAGACCATTGAATCTAGACCATTACATCTAGACCATTGAATGTAGACCAAGCATAGCTAGACCATTGAATGTAGACTTATGCTGCAAGTTAGACCAACATTATATAAAAATGGTGGATCCCACGTAGGACCGTGGCCTCCATCCACTAGTTTGGTATCATTGGTCCAGATTGGGCTATTGCTCAAGGTATCTTTTGGGCCATTGCTCTTATCTTTGCACATGGTGCATTGCTAATCTTCTCCATATATCACTCGTCTATTTCTCCATCTTTTTATGTTTTGCCTCTGCTGATTGTTTTTTTGCTTATGATTTCATTATGGAACTTCCACTATTTTCAGTACTAAGCTAAAAATACCTAAGCTTTTAGAAACCCATATCCATTCCCTACCACATTCAGCAAAAACAATAAAAATGGTAGAGTGGCCACTTTTGATTTTTTCCTGGCATGCATTGGTGGCTGAATATTCCTAGTATATGAAATAAATCATGTAATTATGAAATTCACTATTACTCTTTTTGCTTTCCTTCAACTTTGCCTTGATAATAATTTGAGATTTTTTTTTTTCGCTATAGGGGTAAGGAAATTCCAGTAGTTTTCTCTAAAAGAACAAATGAACTAAGTAAAGGAATATATAACATTCTTTTAGATGTTTGGCCCAGGCCATTAAAGGTTTCGTTTGGTTCTTTGGATTTTTCGAACTTATGGAAACGTGTATTTTGGAATTGGTATTTACTAGAATGGCCATTTTCTAGAATATTGTGTATGCTGATTGGATTGTATCCGGTCGAAACCAGAAAATGTCAATTCACTTTTTGAATTGCCTAGAATTTCTTTTTCTTAGGACTGCAAATCCTCTCTCTCTCTTCTTGCCTCCATGCAATATAAAGAAGTGGGTCTTCCTCCCATTTCAATCACCAAGCCAGCTGCGTGTCTCTCTCTCTAGAATAACACCAACAAAAGTAACAAAATTTGATGTACTGTCTCTCTAAAACTCAAATTTTGGGATAATCTCTCTCTCTCTCTCTAAAATTTTGAGATAGTTTCGATCTCTAAAATTTGATATGATTTTTTCTCTATTCATCTTTCAAAAACTTAAAATTTGAAATAGTTTCACTCTCTAAAAAGTTTGAGATAGTTTCTCTCTCTAAAAATTTTAAATATTCTCCAACATTTGATATAGTTTATCTCTCTAAAATTTTAATGCATTTTCTCTTTCAAAAAATTAAAATTTGAAATATGTTCTCTCTCTAAAAATTTTGAGATAGTATCTATCTCTAAAAAAGTTAGATACTTTCTCTCTCTAAAATTTGATATAGTTTCTATTTCTAAAATTTTGGCTCTTTTTAAAACTTAAAATTTTAGATAGTTTCTCTCTATAAAACTTCTGACATAGTTTCTCTCTCTAAAAAATTTCAAGTAGTTTCTCTCTCTAAACTATGATATAGTTTCTCTCCTTGAAATTTTAAGGTACTTTCTCTATCTAAATCTTAAAATTTGAGATAGGTTCTTTCTAAAATTTTACAATATTTTATTTCTCTAACAATACGTAGGTACCTTCTCACTCTAAGATTTGATATAGTTACCATCTCTAAATAATCAATATGCCTTCTTTCTCTAAAACCTAAATTTTGAGTTAGTTTCTCTCTTTAAAATTTTCAGGTAGTTGCTTCCACTAAAATTTTAATATACTTTTTCTCTCTAAAACTTAAAATTTGGGATAGTTTTTCTATCGAAAAATTTTGACATAGTTATTCTCTCTAAATATTTATGGTACTTTCGCTATCTAAAATTTTGATATAGTTTCTCTCTCTTTAAAGTTTTATGATAATTTCTCTCTCTAAAAATTTTTAGGTAGTTGTCTATCTAAAATTTGATATAGTTTCTAATATCTAAAATTTTAATATACTCTCTCTTTAAAACTTAAAATTTGAGATATTTTCTCTCTCCAAAAGTTTTGAGATATCTTTAAAATTTTTAAAGTAGTTCCTCTCTCTAAAATTAAATGTAGTGTCTCTCTCTAACATTTTAAGATACTTTCTCTCTCTAAAACTTAAGATTTGAGATAGTTTTTCTCTCTAAAAAATTCATATATTTTCTCTCTCTAAAAAATTCACATACTCTATAAAATTTGATATCGTTTGCTTCTAAAAAATTTACTATGTTTTCTCTCTAAACAATTTGGTATATTTTCCCTCTAAAATTTTAATATGTTTTTGTTCTTCAACAACAAAATGGGTCCTTTCCATGAAATGTCAATTCCACCTATTTGGTGGAATTGAGATTTCCATAATTTAGGCTTAAAATGAGCATTTAGGGGTCCCACAGAAATCTCAATTCCAACATAAATATCAATCCTAAGTGAACCAAACACGATTGGCCCAACATTTCTAGGAAAGGTTACTCCCATAAATCTGAATCCAAGGAACCCCTTAATGGAAGTAGGCGTGGCAATGGACCCGACCCGAGACCCACCAGGTATACCCGACATGGGTTTGAGAATGGGTCCAACATCTTGGATCTGGCGGGTTGGGTTCGAGTCCAAAACCCAGATCCAAAAACTATTCAATTCTGGATCTGTGTCAGGTTGGACCCGACTAGTACCCTACCCATACCCGTAAACTGTTGGAGATAAAATACTTCAAGTCCCATTCGTTTGGATGAATTAAAGATCTTATACAATAATAACTCATAACACATTTAGCTATTAAATGATAAATTAGACGGCTTGAAATCTGGTGTCGGGTGATTGTGACCTTCTTGTCAATAATATGGATATGTGATGGTAAAAAAGGAAAAACAATAAAGGAAAGAAGCTTATAGTGAGGGTTGCAATGGACCCGACGAAGCCCTAGACCCAACGGATATACTCAAGACCTGACGGGTATGTGTATGGGTCCATCTTTTGAACCTGAGTCGTGTTTGGGTCCCAAACTTGGACTCGAATACTATTCGGGTCTGGGTCCGGGTCCAGCCGGACCTGACCCTACCCGACCCGTTGCCACCCCTAAATGGAAAACCATCTCACAAGGTTTTAGTCTCAATAGTGTTGTCCCAGTGTATGGTAAATTATATTTTCTTTAATGGTCCAAGACACGCAATTGAAGACGCTGCATTCCTCAGCGGCTAGGTGAATTTTCTGTTTCTTACTCCTCTCAAGTAATTTAAATAGGGAAAAACAGCTCTTTTTTTTCCCTTAAAAGATTCTGGCCAAACATTGTTTTGGGGCATCCACCATACCTGTTCAAATGTGTTCTTCTTCAATGATCTATATTAGAGATGGATTTTGGACCTAAAATTTTATAAACGGATGATGATAGATCTAAAAAAAAGGTGAACTTTCAAGGCTAAAAATACTTACTGATTTTGGACCCTTAATCACTACTTGTTATACTTCTTCCAAAATCAATTCTGCACTATTTTATCAGCTGCAAAATCATGATTCTATAATATAAATACATCCAAAATAACTTAGGATATTTTTCAGATCTTTTATTTATTTATTTATTTATTTATCTTAATTATTGATGTATTTCAGGTCCTAATTCCATCTCTAGGATGGACTTTTGGAGGGAGACTCCATTTGAACAATACCTCACTTAACCTTTTCCCTTAATTATTTGCATTGTACAATTGCAGCTAGCAAATCTATACAAGAACATAGTAGCAACTGACATTAGCCAACAACAACTCTCCTTTGCACACCCACACCCAAACGTCCGCTACCTCCACACCCCATTCTCGATGCCTCCTACGGACGTCACGCGCGCAATTGCACCACAAGGGAGTGTCGACCTTGTGACCGTGGCCCAAGCCTTGCATTGGTTTGACCCCAACACCTTCTATCAACAAGTAAAGTGGCTCCTCAAGAAGCCTGGAGGAGTTTTTGCAGCTTGGTGCTACACTTTGCCTAAGGTGAATGAAGCTGTGGATTCCATATTGGCGAATTTATATACAACTTCTGACCATTTTTGGGCCTCAGAAAGGAAGCTTGTTGATGCAGAGTATAGAACTTTGGAGTTCCCATTCGAGCCTGTAGAAGGAGAAGAGCATACAGGGCCATTTGTGTTTGAACGAACTAGAGAGATGGATCTGGAAGCATTTTTGACATGGATTAGAACATGGTCGGCCTATCAAACGGCTCATATGGAGGGAGTTGAGCTCCTCAGTGAAGAAGTGGTGAAGAAGTTTGAGCAAGCGTGGAAAAATAGTGTTGGAAAGGATGCTTTAGCTCGGTATCCAATTTTCCTCCGAATAGGACGGATACCAATGTGAATGATGTTGGCTTCGTCTTCTCTTTTTCCTGTTTTCTTTCCCATATTTTTCCTTTTATTATGGCATGAATCTCTTTGTTTTATTTCAGAAGATATTAGGCTCTCCATTGATCATTTCCCTTTATTCTATTTGAGGGTATAACTTGTTCAACTTGGTAATTCTATTTCAGTCCTTTGGAGTTGTCAGTTACCTCCATGTACGGTGTCAGGTAACAACTTCCAATTTTGAAGGAGTATTACGCCTTCCCATTAAATTTATTTTGGTGTTTTAGTTTTATTATGAATAATCAACTCAAATAGAGTCGTAAAACCTCTTATGTTATAATGTTTATTATTAGGATTATGTGCATTAAGTACTCTATAATATATTCTATATATTACAGCTAGATTTTGAGATCCAGGTATCATATTGAATCCTTGATATGGTTAAATTCAGACCTTTTAATAAGTTGGGATCACATAAATTTAATATATAATTAGGATAACAATTAAAATAAAACAGGTCTTGATGTAGACTAGCTTCTATGACACCTAATGGGTATTTCTCTCTAATAAATGTTTCTCTCTCCTCTCCCTTTCGTCTTGAACTTATGATCAAAGCAAAGAGAATAAACATAAATTCACTCCAAAATGCTCACATATTATTATGATCAAGCTTTCAAAGACTAACATTTCAAGACCTTATTACAACTACCCCAAATTGTTCACTAAAGAGGGATTGAATACTCAAAAGTACTCCAAATTGTCAAAAATACACAATTACTGAATTAAAATAATCATCACGTATTTTGGCCCAAATGACCAAAATACCCCTCAGAACTTTTCAACAAATGACAAAACCATCCCTTCTTTAGGGACCTCTTGCTATGGCTAGTCTTCGGGAGCTTTTTAAGACACCTACGATGGTAATTTTGGCAATCAATCATCGTAGAATTGATGTTTGAACTTTTGTAAAAGTTTTGATACCCTATGATCGTCCTGAAACAGATTTTCAAGAAGAACCCAAAATCTGGCCAAGACCATAAACTTTTTAAATCTTTAACCATCAATGTTGCTTGATTTGTGATGTTCCACAACTTCATTTTTTTCACAAATTGTAGAGGACTTGGTCACAATCATTTTGCAGTAATTTTTGTCCATTTTGGTATGGAATTGAGCTTTTTCCAAATTCGGGAGGTTGCTGAAAAATGGGTTTCCGGCAACTGAAAAAATGTGCCTTTTGTCAACCTTAAAATTTACATCATTTGGTTCCGATTGGATATAAAACTTGTACCAAATTGTAGCTCTTTGATGCACGGTCGCAATGGTCTCATATTTACGATGATCCGTCAACGAAATCTTGAGATATGGCCTTCCAAATATTTGGATGTTTTCTTATGAATTTCCATGTTTCTAAGCGCATATTATCTGTAGAAATTCTCTCACTTTGGGTCACGCCAAGATGTGTGCCTTATATCGTAATGATCGAGTCGTCAAGATCTAGCTTGTGTCCAAATTTGAGTTTCAACGGACTGAAAACGGGCAAGATATGATTATTTGAAAATCATCTCGAAATGAGAAGACACAGTTTCCATGAATGAAAACTGGTACGCTAAAGTTGCACCGCAACAGTGTAAAACTCACCCTTTTTTGGTCAGTTAGGCCTTGAATGGTTCCGAAGGGTTTGATTGAGCCGAAATTTAGTATCTGGGGGTTTTTTGACCATCAGGATTCAAGGGCGGTGGTCTGGTACAGTTATAAGACG